TTTTCAGCACATGCTGTGTGTATGTTCTGGAAGCATAGAGGTAAGCCAGCATCGTTGGCAGTGAAAGCAAATGAAGAAGTCCACGCAGAGTCAAACTCTCTATTTTCCTCCGTGACTTTTCTTTTTTTGGATTTATCCATTGATAGTTTACAGAGGGCGGGGGTCTGAAAATCATGATGAGCCACCTGCAGGGGAAAGCGCTTGACAGGGGTAGAGGATTTAACTGCCTGTGGGAATAATTAACATATAAGATTCTGTTTATTCTTGCTGATAAATTATATTCTCTCTGAACACCTTTCTCTTTTTGGAGAACGTCATGTGAGATAACTTCTTCTATCAGCGCAATTTCCCTGCTCTTCTTTCTATTTCCTTGTCTCAGCCCCGTGTGTCATGGTGTGTAAACCTCGCTCGAGTCAGGAAACTTGTCAGAATACCCATATTTGATTGGCTGATCTGCATCACGTGATGTGATTTGCAATGCATTGGTTGGTGTGTTTCCTGCACCGTCGAACAAGTGCCGTAACGGCTGAATAAGAGGCGCCGGTTAGAGTTTAAACTCGGTGCCCAATATGTATAATTCCGAATTATCTATCGGTTTTTAGTTCCTGGGTCCGGATCCGGTGCGCCAGTTGGGGACCTCAGGGAGCCGCAACAGAGAGGCCAAAGAGCCACAGGTTGCCGACCCCTGAACTAGGTGAAAAACAGTAGTGCAAAAATCAACCACCAGCAAACAACAGTATAGCAGTGTGTAGTTATGTGGAGGATGATCCGGCCAGAGGCGATTTATTATAGAGTCTAATGGCAGTGGGCAGGAATGTTCTCCTGTATCGGTCGTTGTGACAGCGGAGCTGGATCAGTCTGTTGGAGAAAGTGCTCCGCTGTCCCTGCAGTAGATGGTGGAGAGGTTGATCCGGGTTATCCAATATGGATAATAGTTTCTTCAGTGTCCTCCTCTCCATCACCTCTTCCAGATTGTCTTGTTTGCAGCAATGATGGAGCCGGCCTTCTTAATCAGTTTGTTAAGTTTGTTGGTGTCTCCGGCTCCAATGCTGCTCCCCCAGCAGACTACGGAGAAGTACAGTGCACTGGCCACAACAGACTGGTAGAACATCTCCAACATCTTGCTGCACACGTTGAAGGATCGAAGTTTCCTCAAGAAAAAGAGTCGACTCATCCCCTTCTTGTACACAGCGTTGATGTTGGTCTTCCAGTTCAGTCTGTTGTCGATGGAGACACCCAGGAACTTGTACTCCTTCGCTCCATGTCCACATCCTCTCCAAGAACTCTCAGCGGTTGTGGAACCGTCGTCTTCCTCCTGAAGTCGACCACCATCTCTCTGGTCTTGGCCACGTTCAGACACAGGTGATTTCTACCGGCCCACTCCACAAAGTCCCCCACTACTGTCCTGTACTCCTCCTCCCGTCCGTCCCTCATACACCCGACCACTGCAGAGTCATCAGAGAACTTCTGCAGATGGCATGACCCTGAGTTGTATTGGAAGTCAGTGGTGTACAAGGTGAACAGGAAGGGAGACAGAACATTTCCCTGTGGGGCTCCAGTATCACTGACCACCCCATCAGAGAGCACACTGCCCAGTCGGACAAACTGTGGTCTGCCTGTGAGGTAGTCAGTGATCCAGGAGACGGTGGACGCGTTAACCCCCACCACCCGCAGCTTCTCACTCAGCAGCACTGGTTGGATGGTGTTGAATGCACTGGAGAAATCAAAGAAAGTGATTCTCACAGAGCCACCGGTTCCATCCAGGTGCGACTGAGCTTGTTGCAGCAGGTAGATGATGGCGTTGTCCACTCCCACACGGGGCTGGTATGCAAATTGCAGAGGGTCCAGTGAGGATTTCACCTGCGGTCACAATTCTCTGAGGGCAAAATAAAATGGCGACTCTAGATAGTTGCTACGGTGAAAACTCACGTCACCAACTTTGCTAGGGCTACATTTTGTGTGAGGTGAATGATGGATGCTTTGGTCACCAGTGCAATGCACGTAAGTTTACAAAAACCAGTTACTCCCATTAAATCCAGCAATCCTTTATTCCTCTCCAGTAGCAAGACAACGCTTGCTGTAAGTCTGTTTAGTTTATACAGAAGTTAGCCCTCTACAACAGTAAGTCTGTTTAGTTTATACAGACGTTACCCCGCTACAACCGTAAGTCTGTTTAGTTTATACAGACGTTAGCCCGC